GACTTTTTGTTGGAAGAGAGGAGGGTTAGCCAAACACACTTCATTTTGCAGACTGAGACTCCTTGAAGCTGGCAGAGGTTGAGTTCAGGAAGAACTGAATGGAATGGGCATCCTGAAGCCTCCACAACAGCGATGGAGCTCTGTCAGGCAAGAGCAGGGAATAAATACCCCAAACTCGCAGTTGGAAACCCAGAAAGATCATGCCTTAGAAGAATGGCTACTCACAACCCACTCTAAAGTGGCCTTAGATCAGCTCTTAAAAGGATCAAGCTTTTGTGTCAGTGAATGAACTGTATCTCAGAACAAAGCTTAATACTATGTAAAGGAAAAGAACAAAACAATCTATCAGTCTCTATGCAGTAAGAGATGGTAAACGTTCAAAGAAGCAGGAAAAACACATTTAATCAAGCAGGATTAAAAGAAAAAGAAAAGCCTCGGGCTGGGATGATAAAATTACTGTACAAAAATCTTAAAGGACTCTTAGAGTTATATCAAAGTATGGTCTGCCTGTCCTTGTGATGTGTTTCTAGACTTTGAAGTACAGAAAGGCCAGTCTATCCTCAGACTTCAGAATCCTGACCCAATCCTACTATAACCGAATAATTAAGGCTAATATTGAAAGGATAAAGTGTGGCAAAGTGGGTACCTTCAGGGGGCCTGCCAAGGGATGTCCCTAAGAGAACATGCCATGGTGCAACAGAGTTAGTGTAAGAGGTTTATTGGGGGAGGAGGGAGTGAAAGTGAAAGTCTGTCTTGGAGTGGGGACATAAGAGAGGCAAGCAGGCAGACAGACAGACTGACAAGAAAGCAAGAGGAGCAAGAAGGGCAAGAGAGGGGACTTGAGGGATGGACACTTTTAAGGAGTGCATGTGTCATATATGTGGAAAGGCACCTGGCAGCCAGTGATGACTGACTGCCGAGGCAGGCACGGTGGGAGCCAACAAATACAAACAGTAAGTTGGGCTTAGCTTATATGTGTGATGTCATTCAAAGGGAAATCTGGCCCTCCTGTCTTCTCTCCAGATCCGATAAACCATGTATAGCTATGAGAAAAACATTACACAACCATTGAGAAACATTGTACAAACACTGGACCTGCTCCAATCCATAAGGGATTAGATAGATTGACACAGACCAGAGAAGAAAAGAAGACAAAAAGACTAAATGGAATAGAGTACACTAGATGGAATCTTGGACTAGGAAAAGAAGATGAAGGGAGGAGAGACCAAATTCAAATAAATTTTACTTCATAACAGCAAATAGTGTTGATCCTTACTGTAATTGGGAGCACAGAAAAGAAAACACCCAATGGCTACTCCATTAGAGTGAAGGTTTTTATTGTGGTAAGAGAGAAAGAGCAACCAGAGGCATCTGGAAGAGTTCAGAGCAGAGAGAAGAGGAAGCAGACTGGACATGGCCACGGCTATCTCTTAAGAGTAGAGAGAAGAGGAAGAATAGCAGAGAATGGCAAGAAATAGAATAGTAGAGAATTTTGGGGAGAGGGGTGGGAAATGACTCCTTTTCACAAGTTCCTGAAGAATGCTGGCTTTTATCTAACTCGCCAGAAATCCTTCTATAGTCTAGCTTGAGCTAAGCCAAGACTGTCATGTCTGGACATAAGCACTTCCTGAGATGTCACACTTACTAGTGACAAATCCACCATAGAGATGCAAGATATTAGCCATAGATACAAATGTGTGACAACACACAGCTTTCACTATACTGTGCTAGTTTACTATGAATTTATAACTAATCTAAAACAGCATGTATGTTCAATAAATTACAAATTGCTTCCTCAAACTTATCTTTGGGAAAGGAACAAAGGAAATGATGGATACAATAAATGAACAGATAGAAGATCGCAACAGAGACAAGTAATTTGTTAAATATTAAAATTATTCAACTGAGTAAAAATTTGAGTGTACTAATGAAGTCACAAGTGGTAAATATGACAAATTAATAACTGATGAAGGAATGTATATAAGAAACAAGGGTAAGAAAGGAAATGGGCGAAGTAATGTATATAAGAAACAAGGGAGGTCCAGTCCCCTCCTCTTGGATTGGGGGGAGGAGGGGGGCGGGAGGAGGGAGGACAAGGGAATCCGTGGCTGATATGTAAAATTAAATTAATCATAAAATTTAAAAAAAATAAAAAAAGAAACAAGGGTAAGAAAGGAAGCAGACAATAAATATTAAATGAGACAATATTAAGTGGTCTGACATTCATGGAATTGGAATTAAAGATGTGGCAGAGAAAAAAGAGATATAAAAGAAAACAATAATTAACAGTTCTTGCTAATTTGGTTTGAAAAATCATTTGAATATAAAAGGCTCAATAAATTTCAATCAGAAAACTCAACGAGGTATATTTTAGTGAAACTCATAGATTCTGAAGGCAAAGGCAAGCTCATGAAACAATTAGAAAAAGAAGACATGGACGGTACCAATTAGAAGATCCATTGCTGACTTTTCATCTGAAACAGTGAAAGTTAAAATATAAGCCAATGGCCATTTTAAAGATGACAGTAGGGAAAAATTAACTACTTATTCTGCAACAAGGTAAAGTGTCTTTAGAAACTGGGATAAAATAGAGATTTTTTTTTCTCCACTGAGAAACTTTACCAGCAATAAATCCACACAAGAAAGTAAGTATCTAAGGAAGTCTGTGAAGCTAAATGGAGACAATAGGAGATAGAATTAGTAGCCACAGGGAGAGATGGGGGTGACCAGATAGAATAAAATGTGGTTACGTTAAAGTCAGAATGAGTTCTTTAAATTGTAATGGGCTATTTAGTCAAAGTAACAAAGATGTGCTATGTAATTTATGACAATCAGACATAGAAAATGTTTACACAGTATCACAAAGACGGTCAGGATTGAGTGTAAATATACATGCTGGAATTATTATACACAAAGAAGTGTAATGTTAATTCAACGTTTACTGAGATAAGTTATACATGTGTATTGTAATTACCCCTAGAACCACAAATACAAATAACTAACTATAATAAAGAAACATGGTTAATGGGGCTGCAGAGATGGCTCAGTAGTTAAGAGCATATGTTGCTCTTTCAGAGGACCCAAGTTCAGTTCCCAGCACCTGCATCAGGTGACTCACTACCATCAGTAACTCTAGCTCCAGGGGTCCTGGCAACCTCTTCTGGTCTCCCTTGGCACTTGCACACTGCACACACACACACTAAAAAATAAATATTTAAAAAGAAATGTTGCTAAAAAGCCAATTTGAGACACCGGATACTTTAAAGACATGCTTTATCTACTGAAGAAACACGAAAAAGAAATCATGACTAGGGACGTAGTTTAGTTAGTAAAATGCTTGCCTTGAAAGCAGAAGGATGTGGGTTTAATTCCCAGAATTCATGCTAAAAAAGAAATAGAGAAAGAAAAAAGATGCGTCTGGAAGCATGTATTTGCAAGCCTAGCAGGGGAGGCAGCAACAGACAGATCCCTAGGGCTCACTGGCCAACAACCTGGCTTACCAGGGAAGTTCCAAGCTAGAGAGAGAAAGTGTCTCAATAAAAGAAAGATAGACAGTATCTGAAAACTGACAGGACTTCTGACCTCCACACTCACAAACATCACACACACACACACACACACACTCACGAACGCACACATACACATATGTATTTCACACACACATAGAAGGAGAAAAGACAGATTAAAACAAACAGAACACGAACAACAGACTCACACTTAACCATATTAAGGTGTTAAATGTAAAAGAGCAAACATTATATTAAAAGGCAAAGATCATGAGATTGGATTTTAAGAAGTTAACCTGGGCATAACTATACACTGTATCCCAGATTTTCAATTTAAATTTAAGTACACTGATAAATTAAAATAGAAGCGTTGGGAAGTATGTTCCATTGAATCATAAGAATGCTGAAGTTGTTATTTTAATGACACACAGATACCAGCACGAAAAGTTTTACTAAGTAGAAACAGTGCATGGCAATAAATGTGCCAATTCATCACAAGATGATCCTGAACCTTGGTGTGCTTAATAACATGTCATCATCAGAACACATGATGTCAAAAGCAAAGACAGACAAAAGCTGAGTAGAGCTTCAGACACTGCTTTCTCAATAACAGACCAGACACAGACAGAAAACTCAGGAAGGGTGCCAAGATCTGAACAGCATTGACCAGCAGCTCAATCTAGTTAGAACACTCCATGACATCTTAAGAATACATCATTTTCACAGTGTATGTGAAGTGTTTTGAAAGAACCAAATACTATACCATAAAAACAACCTGATGTATATTTAAAGCACTTGAATCAAATACAGCACACTCTGGGAAAAATGAACAAACGTCTTTGTCTTTTTTACTCTTCAGTAGTGAGATTAAGGAATACTCTCAAAATTACCCATGAGTCAAAGTAAAGAGCATAAAAGAAGTATTTCCAGCAAATGATCTGAAACATGCACGCACATACAGACATGCAGGGTGCACTTTAAAGAGTGCTAAGCATGTAAGTTCAATAACAGAGGGCTGGCTTAGCATGTGTGAGGTCCTGGGTTTGATCCTTAGCACTACTTAGAAAACAAAGGTCAGAGGGCAGGGAAATACTTTAAAGAAAATGTATATTTTCAAATGCTTATATTATCATATATATTATGTATATATATGATTTAAAGATTAATGATCTAATCTTCATCTAGATTAAGTATAGAGTGAGAAATGGGATTGAAATCAGTGAACTAGCAAAAAGACACAGAGAGAGAGAGAAAGAAAGAAAGAGAGAGAGAGAGAAAGAAAGAAAGGAAGGAAGGAAGGAATAAAGAAAAGGAAGAGAAATAAAAAGAAAGAAGGAAAGAAAAAAAGAAGGAAAGAAAGAGAAAGAAAAGAAAGAAAGATAATTACTGAACTAAACCTAGTGATTTGTTAAAGAGTATGATGGGAGAGTTACAAATTAGGGTCTCTGGTCTTTTTCTTTTGTCTAAATGAAACATGTGAAGATGCTGGGGTGTTCTGCAGCTCCTCAGGCCACCAGCCCAAAACATATATGATACCCAAAAAAGGCACAGCGAAAAGAAGCTGGGTCCTTGGAATACGGTTGAAGTCTTGCACCCCCTTCTTTAATGTCTCATTGCAAGCTTTTCGCCAAGATGCGCCAAACAAAGAAGGAAGCTCCTGCCCCTCCCAAAGCTGAAGACAAAGAGAAGGCCTTGAAAGCGGAGAAGGCAGTGATGAAAGGCATTCACAGCCACAAAAAGAAGATCCCATGTTACCCACCTTCTGGGGCCCAAGACCTGCGGCTCCGGAGGCAGCCCAAATATCCTCGAAAGAGCGCGCCCAGGAAAAACAAGCTCGACCACTACGCCATCATCAAACTCCCCCTGACCACTGAGTCAGCCATGAAGAAGATAGAAGACAACACCACACTTGTGTTCATTGTGGATGTCAAAGCCAACAAGCACTGGGTCAAACAGGCTGGGAAGACGCTCTCTGACATTGATGTGGCCAAAGTCAACATCCTCATAAGGTCCGACAGAGAGAGGAAGGCGTATGTTCAGTTGGCTCCTGACTATGATGCTCTGGATGTTGCCAACAAAATTGGGATCGTCTAAACTGAGTCCAGCTGGCTAATTCTAAATATACTTTTTCACCATTAAAAAAAAAAGTCTCATTACAAAAATAATGCAATGTCTTTGCTCAAGCCACTCTAAGATGAATTTTCTCTTAAATACCATCCTAACGGGCTCACAATCAGAATTACAAATAAGATTTACGAGGAACAGAAAACCTTGAGTGTGCAACAAAGAAACTCATTCTGTGAGGCAGGAAGGAGAGTGACGAAAAGGAAGACAGAGCCCTGTACTCAGCAGAGTGAAAGTATGGGAGTTTGTTTTTAAGGTTTATTAATTTCTGTTTTATGCCTGTGAGTGTTTTGCACGCGTGCATGTATTGTATGCACTGTGCAATGCTGAGTGCTTAAGGAGGCCAAAAAGGAGTGCCAGATCCCCCAGAACTGGAGCTACTGACAGATGTGAGCCACGATATGAGTCCTTGGAACTGAACCCAGGTCCTCCACGATGACAGCAAGTGCTCTTAGCCTCTAAGCCCTTTCTTCGGCCCCACCAGGAACTTTTCATACCATAATACTATTTAAACTAATTCCAGGATCAGTAGCTCCTTCTTCTTTGGATGGACCAGTAAGGCACATGAAAAGATATTGGAAATGAATTCATTCAAAACCATTCCATTATCCCACTCACAAAGCCACCAGATCTTAGATTTCCTAAAAAGATTCCAGTCAGTGTTCGTAAGAATCAGGAAGTCACACGTTGTAGACATCTCTCACTATAGGCTTAGGAAGGGAGCTTTGCTAGTCTCCAAGGAGAAAGCTCAGGAAGCATGTAAGAAAAAGCAAGATCTTCAAAGGTATTAACTGTGTTTCTGGTGCTTTAAAGCTGAGGCCTTGCTGGCTCTGAAGGGACACCATCACCCCTCACAGTTTGTCACTTCCTAGATGCAGCAGAGGACTTGTCTGAAAACCCTATCTTCAAAAATTAGCATTTATTTTTATTTTTAATTGTATCTGTGCATGCATGTCTTAAGGACGGGGTAGGGGAAAATCTGTGTATATGAGCACAGTTGCCCACAGAGGCCAGAAGGCGGCACTGGACTCCCTGGAACTAGTTACAGGCAGTTAAGAACCAATAAACATGGGTTCTGAGAACCCAATTTAGATACTATACAAGAACAGTATATATGCTGTTTAATTGCTGATCTATTTCTCCAGCCCCACCTCAATACTTTCTTTCCATGTTTTTTATGTTTTAAAAAAAAAACTGAAATAGAAATTTATCACTTCCCCTCCCGTTCCTTCCTGCAGCCTCTCCCAGCCATCTCCCTGTGTCTCCCACTCTCAAGTTGCCTCCTTTTCTTTGATTATTGTTGTTACATACATACATGTGTGTATGTATATAAACATGTGTCTGCACAGGTACATAAAAATACAGCCGACTTGAGTCCACTTTTTCTGTTTGTGTGTATCTGGTTTCGGTGCTGACCACTCTGCATCGGACAACTAACAAGGGGGTTCATCCCTGGGAGAGGCTAATTCTTCTCCCAGCAGTCAGTAGTGGCCTGTAGTTCTTTGTCTAGGGATGAGGCCCCTGGAAGTTTCTCTGCTTCCACACTAACATGTCTGTATTGCTATTGCCTTTGTTCCAGTCTTGTTTCTGCAGCCATTTATGGGAGAGTCTGGGTCACAGCCGACTTCCTGGTCCCCTGGCTCTCACAGTCTTTCCTCCCCCTCTTCTGTGATGTTCCCTGAGCTAGAGATGCAAGAACCGTGATGTAGATGTATTCTCTGGGGCTGGGCTCTGTGCAGTCCACTGACTCTGCATTGTGTCCAGTGGTAATGAGCGTCAAATGGGGGGAAGACAATGGGGGTCAATACAGAAGGAGAAGAGACGAGCTACACATAATACCAAGGTTGTTTGAATAAAACCTTGAGGAATTATATTATCACACACACACACATACACACACACACACACACACACACACACACACACACACACACACAATCTTAAAGGAAGTTAAGTCACTGCGCTCCTCACAAGAACCATAAACTAACAAAACCCCCAGTAGCAGGCATAAGAAACCTCTTTTTGAATGGTGGATTAAGGGTAGTCCAAATGACTCCCCAAACAATATAAATGATAGGTGTAGCCCTTGGTTACCTCTCAGGGGTTATGGGTGGGCCCCTATTACTGAAGGTACCACACACTTAGGACACAGGACTGAGATGACTCAAGAGGAATCTGACCTGAGAGCCTCTTTCCTGTGGTCAAGCTTCCAAAAATTACTATGCTAGCTGTCAAGGGAGGGAAGCAATTAAACAGTCCTACTCAGTTGCAACACCTGTGAACACATGGCAAGGTATGCATGAAGGTGCAATGAGGGGTTTTCACATGTCCATGGCAACTAAGAGCTGTCGAGTTGGACTTAAGACCCATTCCACAGAAAGAAGTCAAGCCTGATACTGGAAACCTAGCCAGTTGCTCAGCGATAGTGAGGTCACAGACCTTAGAAAGGAATCTACCATTGATACTTGGCTAAACAAGCATAAGTTCTTATTACATTCTAAATCCTATCCTTATACTCACAGGTAAGTGTGGCTACCAACCTTCATTAAAGAGGCCTCCATCTACAGAAATGGAGACCATCACAGAAAACATACTTTTATATGAAATCCAACCAGTTAAAGGCTATTACCCCACTAGCCCTTCATTTGGCTCTTACAATCCTGGCCACTATTTCCCCTACCCTAACACACAGCACCAGCTCTTCCACCCATAATTTATCCTAGCCAATCCTAAACGTTCAAAGCCTGGCTTGCCCAATCCTTCCCGTGGAAACTGTAATAAAGGCTCTTGGCCTCCTGTAGCATGGACCCTCTTCTCTTCGGAGAAAGAATCTTGCAGTGTAGTTAGTAATCACTTGGTGTGCCAGTCTATCATGCCTGAACAACAATAATAAACACCTGCATTTCAAAGCAGAAAAGAAACAAATAGCATAAAGAAAACTCATTGCTACATCTAAATAATGTCCAAATTGCATCAAAATTCTGTGACATCAACATTGTTTACCAGGCCCACATCCTTTCACTGGTCTCACACTTAGTGATGCCCCTCAAACTTGACTACAGTGAGAAGCACCTGCTCCCCCTACCTCAGCCTAAGAGTGAAAGTTCAGGCTTAAAGTTAGTTTATGTAATCACTGTTCAATGCCACAGTGATAGGTCTCGAAGGCTCTGCCTCCCCTGCCGTGGGTAACGTTCCCCTTTGTCAAGAAGATTCTTGTTGAAACTAACCATAGTTTGTAGCTACAGTTTTCCTGCCTGGCCCACAGTCAGGACAAATCTCTCTCACCTGTCAGTCCCACAGCCACTCAGACCCAACCAAGTAAACACAGAGACTTATATTGCTTACAAACTGTATGGCCGTGGCAGGCTTCTTGCTAACTTTCTTACAGCTTAAATTAATCCATTTCTATAAATCTATACCTTGCCACGTGGCTCGTGGCTCACCCGCATCTTCACATGCTGTTTGTCATCTTGGCGGCTGGCAGTGTCTCTCTCTCTCAGCCTTCCACTTCCCAGCTTTATTCTCCTCCTTGTCCCGCCTATACTTCCTGCCTGGCCACTGGCCAATCAGTGATTTATTTATTGACCAATCAGCAACACATTTGACATACAGACCATCCCACAGCACTTCCCCTTTTCTTTTTTTTTTTTCTTTCTGTCTTTTTTTTTCAAAAAGGAAGGTTTTAACCTTAACAAAGTAAAATTACATATAATTTGGGAATTTGGGCGTAGCTTCTCTCACTACTTCCTGCTGGAGGGGGGCTCTGTATCTTATGGGGACACAAAGAAAATTTTAGGATTATGAAACTGTCCATGAGGCTCTATTGTCTGAGCCAGTTGCCTTCAAACCATTCTGGATGTTTAATCATCTGGGCCATGGTGTCATCAGAGACCTTTCAGGGGGTGTTGGCTGGTCAAACCTGATGTATCTTAATCTGGAACAAATCCATAGCTTTTGGCTTTCTGTGGGAACAAAAGCAGAGTCTCCTTTCCAAAGCAACATATCCTTATATCCAAATTTTGAAGTCAAGGTACCTTTAAAATATACATTTTGGCATAACTCAACAGCTTTTACAATCAAATGTTTTTCTGTAGTTAAAAATCCCAAAGACAACACAATCCAGATTCTCTGTGTGATATCCACCTTTAGGTGGCTTATTTTTCATATTAGTTTTACTATCTCTTTAAAGACTTTATTTTTTTAACTATGTATTTGTTTATATAACTGTATATATCACCTTTTTTGTCTCTTTCAAGCCTACATGTATTTTACACACATTGTAAACTATTACATCTGAATCTGTCTTATTGTGAATCTATTACTTTAAACTGCAGCAGCTGTGGCTGCTGGCTCCACCCACCTCAGCTTCCCAACTTGGCAGTGGTACGTTTTCCACCAGCTCTGGGAGCTATCGTGGGTCTATGCTTTTATCCAAGCAGCGTGTAGCCCAGAAACCTCTTTTTTTGTTTTATACTAGCAAAGGCTAAATCCACCATGCAGCTTAATGTGCCACTTGCAGAGGCCTCATTCCTGCCATACTGCAGGTCGAACACACATGCTAGGAACCCACAAGTAGCTCAAACTGGCAGCTGCCGCTCATTTGAGAGAGACAATTAGGAACTGTTTTTAGCTCAGTTTTAGAATCTTTTTTCTCAGGTTTTTAGGTGGAAACTCTTGCCCCACGTTGGGCGCCATTTGTAGCTGGAGTTTTCCTGCCTGGCCCACAGTCAGGACAAATCTCTCTCACCTGCCAGTCCCACAGCCACTCAGACCCGACCAAGTAAACACAGAGACTTATATTGCTTACAAACTGTATGGCCATGGCAGGCTTCTTGCTAACTGTTCTACAGCTTAAATTAATCCATTTCTATAAATCTATACCTTGCCACGTGGCTCGTGGCTTACCGGCATCTTCACATGCTGTCTGTCATCTTGGCGACTGTCAGTGTCTCTCTCTCTCTCAGCCTTCCCCTTCCCAGCTTTATTCTCCTCCTTGTCCCACCTACACTTCCTGCCTGGCCACTGGCCAATCAGTGACTTATTTATTGACCAATCAGCAACACATTTGACATACAGACCATCCCACAGCACTAGTTCACTGGGATCTTTATAGTATTTATTTCTTTCCTGCTCCATTAGTTAGAGGCAGTGTCGATCTACCTGCCCTATTGTCAATTCTAAACGTGCTGTGGTATCAAGGGGCTCCATATTTTTATTCTAGTAGCATAGAAACCATTCCTCCACTAACCTGTCCTTGCAGCTCATCTCATTCATGGACTGATTTTCTTTATTCCTACAACATTCTATGATGTGACTATAAACTAACCTCATCTATCAAGACTCTTATACTAAATAATGTGCCACGCAAACTCCAAAGACAATGCATGATAGTTCATTCCAGAGTCAAATATGAGCAGCCATGGCCCAGGAACACAGATTCAAGTTACTCCTAATTCCATGTACCGATGTGGCAGCAGTTTGATAAAGCTGTTATAGTAACAGAACAAAGAAAGTCATAAGTTAAGGCACCTTCCGATATATTGGTGGAACACTAGGGTAGGTCAGGTGAAGCAAAGCAGGAAATCTCTGCTATATCGGCATTGGATACAATCTGATGGTACAGCCTTTCCAGTTGGTAGAATCCAGTGGTCTGCAAGTACATTTCACAGTTTTACATGTTAGCCGCAGGAATGTTGGTAGACATAGAAGTGGGAAAGAAATGACTACTAAAAGGGATGAAAATGGCCCAAGATAAAACCATCATCAGACTCTGGACCTGCAGCTTCCCAACCTCCTCACAGCCATTTCAAGTTCTTGTCAACTATCAGCTTAGGAGAAGGTTCAGTCGAAGGTGAGGCCTTCCTTCACAGCTCATTTTCCTTCCTGCATTTTCATTTTCCTATCCCATCACCCAGCATGCCCTTCTTCCATCTCCAGCCTTGCTGAGGATTTGCCTCTTCCATGAAACATTATGGACTCCCTCTTCCTGCTCTCCTGACCTCTTGAACTTTCTTCCTCTGTCCTTGTACAACAGTTCCATGCAGAAGAATCAGCTCATGGCAAAATTAAGCATCTTACAAGTTTGTTGATTTCACGTACAATAGAAAAATGGCCCTCTTGTTAGTAAGAGGGCTAGCCTGGGCGACTATGTCTCCTGGCCTGTTCCTCTGTTCTGTGGCATGGGAGTAAAGAGAGAAAGGGTGGCTCATTTCAAAAACAGAATCAGAACCATGGATGATTTCATCTTTATCATTGTATGGCTCCTCAGGTGTCACTCAAACAGGAAAAAAATCACCTCTCCCATTTACATGAGGTGTAAATGTGTTTTCACACTTCTGCCTGGCAAGTACTTTCTGTAATGTTGATGGTTAATTACCTGACAAGGAGTCCTCTTGGGGAAGGCAGTGGGGGAAGGACAGAGAAGATTATCTGGATTGCACTTGCGCACACAAAGCAAGCAAAGTGACACCTGCTACTCTCTGGAAGATGTTTTCTCCAAAACCTGCAACATTCCTGTCCCCCAGCTCCTCCCATACCTTCCTGTTTTACTCTCCTTTGCCTCTTTCCAATCACAGAGCATGCCAAGTAACCTACTGGGTTTTTAGAAGATTTCATTGTACTTGCTAATATGTGATTTATAAACATAAATAAAATAAATAGGATTCTGAGGGAATAAATTCTAAGTAGAATATCAATAAATCTCCTCCCTCTGATGCTGTGCTATGATTTCCCTCCCTTAGTCCTTTCTCCCTACAGCCTGCTCACACCCAAGGAATCATCAACTCTTCTTTACATTGGAGGAAATTGGGGGTGGGGACAAGTAGGACATAGGGGAAGAGGTTGTGTGGGAACCCTAACACAGCGCTGCATTGAAATGTAAATTTCTTCAAATTATTAAGCACCAGAGAGCAGCTCTCACCAGCCCTCTGTTCCTCTGAGTCAGAATGTATAATCTCAAAGAATAAATATCCAGTCAGATATCAGCCACACAAAGAAATTGGGGCCATACATATTCAGAGCTCCAAGTCCTGCACTCACCCCTCTCCTTATCAGGGAGGTTCTGGTCATAGCTACCAATCACAGGTCAGAAAATGTCTAATGCTGAGGGAGGAGGGGGAGTGTCTGGGTGGTAATCAATCCCTGGTTGCCCCAATTCTCAGCCCTGCACTTCCACCCTAAGTCCTACCACTGTCTAGAAAACTAGATCACGCTGCCACTGTCCAGGCTGAAAACACAAAGCCACCTGGTTAACTCCGAGACACAGTAGCTGGGACTTCCTTTCTTGGCAGAGAAGAGGTACTTTGCCAACATCTTTGCCTGGAGTTGCACAGCTCACAGCTTGAGATGAATGACTCTGAGCTCTCATTTACATTTTTAATTCCCTCTTAGCTTCAGGAGCCCACAGATCTGTAGGAGGACAGATAATTGTCTGTCTTTTCCTCTCCTGCCATCCCATTTCAAGCCAGTACATTCAACTCTGAACACATAAAGGTGGAAACGGCCCATTTTACAGGACGCACCAGGCATGGTAACTTCTCAGCTTAGTGGACTCTGGCTTCCATCACTGTCTCTCCAATTTCTATCTCTTCTAACCAAAAAGTCCTTGAGGTCAGACGCCCAGACTTTATTCATTGCCCTCTCTCCTCTGTTCCCACCATGTGCTTAGCACACAGTAGGTCCTTGGAAAACTGACTGGCAGTTTATATGCACCCACAGGATAAATGAGGGTGTGGCGAGTGTGGTAAAGGTCACCAGAGGGGCTGGTGGGAAGGGCGGGCATCTATTTCAAAGTCAGTGTGCTCTGTATTTCCTGGTCTTTGACTTTCTTTCTAAATAGAGTTCAAGACTGGGGAGAAAGCTAAGTAGGAAAGTACTTGCTGCGCAAGCACAGAAACCAGAGTTTGATCTCCAGCCCCCTCATAAACATGAAAAATAAGACCCAGGCTCAGCAGATACACAGGCTACACTCCTAGACATAGAGGTAAGAAACTTGCCAGCTAGCTAGATTAGCCAGGTGAGCTCCGAGTTCAGTGAGAGAGATCTTGTCCCAAAGCTAAGGAAGAGAGCCGTTGAGGAAGATGTCCAAAGTCAACCTCTAGCCGCCACACACACGCTCACATGCATACACACACACACACAAACACACACACACACACACACACACACACACACACACACACACACACACACAAATGCATAGGTTTTATCAAAGCGGTGGTTGTTCCGAGGGACTACTCCATCTTTACTCTCACCCCAAAGTCTGTGCCTTCTGAAGACACACCAGTCTTTGCTTCATAGTTCTTGGTGAGACCTGTGTCTAAGTTAGGGTTTACTTTTGCTGTGAAGAAACACCATGACCACAGCAACTCTGATAAAGAAAATATTTAATTGAGGGTAGCTCACTTACAGTTTCGGAGGTTCAGCCCATTATCATCATGGAGGGGAGCATGGCAGCATGCAGGCAGATGTGGTGCTGGAGCTGAGAGTGCTACATCTTGCAGGCAACAAGAAGTCGACCGACTGTCACACTGAGGGAAGCTTGAGAAAGAGACCTCGAAGTCCACCCCCACAGTGACACACTTCCTCCAACGAGTCCAAACCTCTTAATAGTGTCACTCCCTTTAGGGGCAATTTTCTTTCAAACCACCACAACCTGTCACTTTATTCCAGTACACATTAAAGTCTGAGCTGATCCATACAAAGTTGCTGTTCTCCTAGGCTGGAGTCTGTCTAAGAATGTAGGCCACACAGCGGTCATCTATCATACAAAGTCTTAAGGGAGGCGTCAGTTGCACGCCCCACCCCTTCATCTTCCCTGCTGCCTGGTGTCCTTGACCAACACTCTGAAATCCACTGGGTCTGCAACGGCCTCCTAATTCATTGACAAGACCACACCTGCCTTCTGTTCTTGATGCCCCTGACTTTCACCAGCTTCCTTCAATAACAACACTGGGGAACTGTGTTTCTTAAGACTTTGTGGAAGCCCTGCCTTCATGCTTGCCTTGACAGTATGGAAGCTGCTAGTACAGACTTCTCTTTCCTGCTTGTTTTTCAATCAGCTACTTTATCCAAGTGAACAATCCTGGATGTGACCTGTCCTCTGCTACAGGTGCTGGTAGCCCTGAATGGCCACAACCCTCTTTACCCTCAGGACTTTTCCCATCAGGAAAGTATGGTCACTATTGATCTTTTTTTTCTGACAGGATATCAAGTATGGCATACAAAGAGCAAAGAAAGGCAGGGTTTGCCCTCATCTCCCTGTGTTGTAGCAAAGGTAAGCTCAGCTAAATATAAGTGAGATTCAGTTGCTAGGCCTAGAATTCTGCTCAAAGAATTTTTGAGTGAAAGAAATCCATGGTATCTGCATTGATTGATGACTACATCTGGAAAAAAATACAGGATCCTAGGTCTGAATCGGAGTAGGCTTGAACATACACTGTACTCATCTAGCATGGCAGTGGGAAGACAGAGCTTCTCTCCAGGCTAGGCATGTGTTTTTAATGTGAGGCCTTCAGATCCTGCAGTTTGCCCAACAACCTTAGAAGCATTTTCAAAAAGTAAAAAGTAACAGCCCCCCAAAATAGATCTTAGTAATTAGTTTCTTAGAGTCAAATCAGATACTTTCAATTAAAATTGCACTTAAATGTCTGATGTCATGGAAACTAAATACCTGCTTTGTAAATTAATGAGCAGAAAAATGTACAAATGAATGAGAAATGGGTGAACAATAAGATAAAAACATTAGTTCACTTTGCAGTGACAACTGATAGAATATGGATATAGTTTTTTAACTAAAGATGATATAAAATGCATCCTTTCTGACCACTGCTCTTTGGGTTGACAAAGTTTTCCCATAGCTTCTTCCCATTGCATTGGAGAAGTTCAAAGGAATATATGGAAATGTTGGTAATGTACTTGGAATGGGACAAAAGTTTTCCAGTGTAAGACCAAGTTTGTTCCTTCATCCCCTATGTGTCTGTTTGCAAATGTTCATTTTCATCCTCTGGGTTCACTTAAAAGTAAAGCCACCAATCACAGTGTCACTTGGGTGCATTCTTAAAACCCTGTCATATCAACAACCTCAAGAATTGCTTCTGTACCTCTTTGAGACTCAGAACAGGTGGTCTGAGTGAGAAGTGCCCCCGGCAGGCTTATGTATTTGAACACTTGGTCCCCAGCTGGTGATGCTGTTTGGGGAAGTTGTGGAACCTGTAGGAAGTGGAGCCTTGCAAGAGGAAGGATGTCACTAAGGATGGGCCTTGAGGGTTTAGAGTCTGGTTCTACTTTCTGTTTCTTCTCTCTGCTTCTTTTGGGAAGTGAGAGTGTGATCATCCCGCTTCCTGCTCTTGTCATGCTTTGCATGCCATTGTGGGTGCCATCCCTCTGGATGCATAAGCCCACTTAACCCTTTCTTCCCCTTGGTCAGGCTATTTTATCACAGCAACAGAAAAGTGACTGATGCAATACCCATCTGCAGATTTTAAAAATGGGAGAAACAGAGAATGGAGTTTTTGAGTGGCCAAGTCTTCCCAGGCAATCCTTCCTCAGGTTCACCAGGGTTCTCTCTAAGGCAGAAAACACCAAAACTGTCTGTCAGAGCCTCTGTTAGTTACCTTTCTTTTGCTGTGATAAAACATGGCCAAGGTGACTCATAGAAGGGCCAGCTTATCTTGGGCTGAGAGATAAGAGACCATCACCATCACAATAGACGTGGTGGTTTGAATGAGAATGTCCCCCCAAAGCTCTGACATATGAATACTTGGTCCCCAATTAGTGGTACTATTTGGAGAGACTTAGGGGGTGTGGCCTTTCTAGAAGAACTAAGTCACTGGGGGTGGGCCTGAAGAGTCTAAAGACTTCCATTTCAAGTTTACTCTCTCTGTTTCCTGTTTGTGGTTCTAAGATGTCATCGCTCAGCTGTTCCTGCCGCCATGCCTGTGGTCTGCTACCATGCTTCCCTGGGTGACAGTGATGGGCTGTCATCCCTCTGGAACTAGATACCCAAAGTAAACTCTTCCTTCTAGAAGCCACCTCGGCCATGGTTTTGTAACAGCAACAGAAAAAGTAATGAACAGAGAGCCAAGGCTCCACGTAGCTTTGCTGTGCATTTTTCCTCCCAGCTGTCCTCCGCATTTCTTCTGCTCTTATTCTGAGCCAGTGATGGAGCTGAGGAGCAAATTGCCATGAACTTGGTGCATTGACACCACTTACCATAGCTCTCAGTTCTGAGAGTAAGAACCAGGTTCTCTGTTGAGGACTAAAAAAAATCAGGAAATGCTCGTCGACTGAAAAAGCAGGAAGTGTGGTAGGATCCCGTGAGTATGTGCTGTCTGGAGGTGCTGAGGAAGACTGTCTGTCCAGGCCCAGGCAGGTCGTCTGAAGAATTTACTTCCTTATGGTGTAAACTAAAACTCCTTTTTTCTTGCTGACTGTTGGCCAGGAATCACTGTGCCACTAGCGACTGCTGCCAGGCCCTCGTTCCATGGCCATCTCCCTAGGAAAGCCAGTAGTAACACGTGGAATGGTTCTCATGCCACAAACCTCTCTTCCTTTTCTAGCAGCCAGGAGACTGCTTTTAAAGTGCTCACATCCTTAATTCAGGGCAATTTGGCCTCTACACCATCCACTGACCTAAGACTTTAGTGGCTTCTGTGAAATCCTTCACCCTAGCTCTAAGATTGGTGTGAGACTGGACAGCCAGGGCTGGGGATCAGGGTGAGGGAGATGTCAGTCTGCTGCTCACCTCAGGGCTGATGTTGGCCTGTGGTTATAGACACCAAGGGAGTCCTTTGTCTTGGACTTATCTATGGTTCCTCTAGTTGGTGTCCGTGGTTCATTTAGACCAGAGGAAGGAGACTAGTTACATAGACAACATTTTGTAAACTTAAAAATCATTCTAAGTTCATCATCTCAGCCCTAAACCGTACTTCCATTAAAGGATGACACTTCATCATCCTTAGTCCTTGCCTGCCCTGGGACTACTTGTCCAGGAAGATAAGCCCAATGACTCACCTGTACTCACAACTGCTGCTTCACGCTCACAGGAGCAGGTGGCCAGAGATAATTGTGGCAACAATAGATGGAGCTCCTGGGAAGTAACCATGCTCTCTGCGGTGCCCTCTGTGGACAATAGGAGAGCCCATTATCTCCAGGGGCTCCTGGAAAAATAACAAGGCTATCAAGAACAACAAAGATATTAAAACTAGAAGCAAACATTTCAGAAAAGAAAACTAATAAAATGTAGAGACAACTGGAAAGAAATTCACTGGAACTAAAAAATACACATGAAAAAAATCTTAGCGCTCTTAGGAGAATTTACAATGAGGACACCAAAGAAACATCACACAGATTTCTTGTCTAGGCTGAAGAAATAGAGTGAGCCAAAGTTCAGTCAGCTAAAGAAACATAGGGTGTCAATAACATGGTTTATAGAGTAAATGCACAGAGCCCATTTTGAAGAAATGACTTCCTAGATTTTGAAAAGTTATTAAATGGTGGAATTCCACAACATCCTGAAGTCACTATATTGTACAAGTTTGGGAGTATACTTGTATGAACTTACATGCTTTTATCTGGAGGTTGGGTGCCTGAAAAGGAGCCCACTACTTTGCAAGAACACACAGAAGCAAGAGATACAAAGACAACAACGGTGTGGTTCCTGGAGAATGATTAAATGCCACTGCAAGTGATGAGACCTCATGTGACATTTTATTTTTCTTGGGGTCTTCTTTTTTATAGCCCACTGCTATAGGTCAAATACTTGTTGTTTTTTTTTTTAAAAAAATCATATCTTGAACCCCTAAGCCCAACTCAGTAACATTAGGAAGAGGGGGCTTGAATCTTAGGAGGAAAGACAAGGCAGGGCCTCGTACTGACTTGAAATGCTAGAGCAGAAAGAGAATGCCCAGGAGTCTGAAGTTCCCTTGATGACATCAGTTCCCTTCTAAGATGAGAAACCTGGAGCATGCTCTCTCATCATTGTGTAACATTATGGCAGGGAGGTGTCTATTTGCAGTCCAAAATGAGAGCTCTCAGAAAATCTGCCAACACCTTGATCATGAACTTCCCAATCTCCAGAACAGCACTTTATTACAAAGGCCCAAACATACCAAGATACTTCTATCTGGAGCTTGGTGTCTTTGCTGGGAATGGTTGTTTAGTCCCTTGATATTCAGGAGGATATGTGCAAATGAGGAGGCTAGATCAGGTTGTCACAGAGTTATGACCTGGAATTTCAAGTGTTACTAAACCATTGTTGCTATTACTGTTGTTTTCAAATCCTAACAACCCCCATACAGGAATCTGATTCCTCCTAAGAGGCGTCACTTACCTGGACCAAAGGTTACAACAGGACCAGAAATTCGAGTATGTCCTAGCAAAATTCAGGAACAGCACTTTAATCACATCTCTAAACTACCTTATAACTTGGCAAGAAGCAAAAGTATAATTTTTATTTATATATATACTGCTTTGCCTAAAAGTTGAGCTTGGGGATGAGGAACCTAGCCTGTCTCCAAGTGAAATTGTTGCTACTGAAAAGCCATTAATGTGATACTCAAACAACTATGA